ATTAAAATCGAAAAATGATCTTCAATGCTTTGATGTCAACCGCCCATATAACCAAGAAACGTGTAACCACTTCCAAATTAAAATAATCCAAAAATGATACGGAGTATTTAATCAAATTACTCTTAGAACCCAAAAAGCTTCCCGATGCGCCGGCCACTTCATAGAAATACAGAAGTGATGTCAAATTGAATTCTTTGACTGCTCAAAGGCAACAAAACTCTCTCCATGGATCAAATTATATTTTGATTGTGATTTTAGAACTCAAGCCACAAGTGAATACAAAAGTTATCAGGCACTAATTAAACGTTATTTACTCATTTTATTCCACAGTGTGATTATACTCCGTATTATTCATAAGCAGAGAGAAAAAAAAACAGGGTTTTCAAACTGAAGCAATGATAGTCTATACAGATGGGTCGCCGAAGAAGGAAGGGCGCCGGCACTGCTAGCCTACCCACAGGACTGACTGCATCGGAAGCAAATCTTTGAATTTAGAAATCTGTTGCTCTCTATGGAATGTAAGCTTTACTCCAAAAATGGAAAGGTGAATGAATGCAGTGAATAATATTTTGGCCGGCAGATCGGCGGGGGAGGTTTGGTGAATATTTTCAGTAATTTTGGTTTTATGTATGCTGAGTCAGCATGTCAAGGGAGCTGTCGTGAGAAGACGGTCATGTATATATACAATGTCCAAATTTTATTTTGACAGCTCAGCATTACATGAATATAAACATTGTGCATTGGAAAGGAATATTGCACGGTAATGTTAACAGGGATGACGTAGCATTCATTTTTTAATGTCAACACTGTCCGATTGAGGATGCTCTTAACTTAAGAACCTTCCCATTTCAAAAGTTGGTAGATTAAGAATAGTGAAAGGGGTATAAATTATTGAAAGTATAAATTATTGATGGTATGATGAGAAGATAGTAAAATAATGTTATGGGAATGAAGGATATATAGTATATTATTTTTAAAATTATTGAGGGTATAATGATCTGAGAAGATTTAGAATTGAGCAGATTTTTTCGTCACAGACGAAAAACGAAAGTGAAAAGATTTTTTTGTTTTGTTATGGAGGGAGTATATTTTAGTCAAAATAATACAATACTAATTTAACGATTTTATTATTTAAAGAAGGAAAATAATTAATGATATAAAATATTATTCACATAAAACTTATTTACAAAAATATGACCGAAATTATTATAGTATAGTTTTATTTTTATTTAATTAGTTAAAAATTGAACATAAATTACAATGATTAGTCTAGGTCTAAGGTAGTGTTTGCAACTGCTTAAAAAAAGCACTTCTCAGCTTTGGGCTTTAAAAAGCACTTATTTACCAAACACTACCAATTTTTACTTTTTCTCGGCTTGCGTGTGAAAAGTGTTTTTCCCTTTTCTATTACACAAAAAGCACTTATTTTACCAAACACTACCAACTTTTACTTTTCAAAATCACTTTTTTCTCAAACACTATCAACTTTTACTACTAATCACTTTTTTCTTACATCTCCAAAAGTGCTTTTTTTTAAGCAGAAGCAGTTGCAAACACTCCCTAAGTCTAGTGAAGTATGGTCACATTTAACAAGAGAAAGATTAGGATTTCACCGTAACAAAATTTGATAACTAACGTAACAACAATAAGAGAGTTTTTTTTTGAGGATGTTAATAAGAAGCATATAACATACTCCCTCCGTCCCGCAAAGTAGTTCCCGTTACACAAATATTAAGGAAATAAACAAACCAGAGATAAATTTTACTGTTTTAACAATGTTTTGATTTAGATAACTTGTCATTTAAAGAAGAGGAACTTCTTTTTGGGACTTCTAAAGAAGGAAAGTGTGAACTTCTTTGCGGGACGGAGGGAGTACGTAGTATGGAGTATAATATACACTCCATCCGTCACTTAAAACTTGGCCAAATTTGATTTTTACATGAATTAATGAAGTAAAAATTGTGGTTGTGTTTTGCGTAAAGGACAAAGAAATAAGTAAATAACTGAAACCATAAATTTCTTTATCAAAATATTAAGGGAGGACAAGGAGTATAATACATGTCATACATTTCCCATATAGAAACAGAACAGATGTTCAATAAAGTAACCTCATGGGGTCGACTGATTCTTGGAGAGCATCAGAAAGAAACTTTATGAGCCTGTTGGCGCCAGTGCAATTCTGCAGATCGTGGAGGGAAGTCCACTAGAGTGTCATTCCACAAGGATGAGATCCGAGAATCGAAGGTTTCAGATTTCTGAGTGAGAGCTAGGTCGATCGCGGAGAATAAGTGAAATGTTAGGGTTTTGTTGGTGGCTGTGATGGTAAAGATCAGAATAGATAGGGCCTTACGAGTAATAAGCCTCGAGCTTGATCGCGATATCTATGGCAATGGCGGCTGGTGGGACTTGTTTTCGGATGAACAATTTTGTATTGCTCCCTACTTCTCCTCCTCAAAGAGGCAAAGAGTAGGAGAAAGAAGAATTTCAGAATTCCAGTTTATTATTATCATCCAATTTCTAACTACCTCCCTCCAAAATTAATTTGCAAAATAAATATTTTTATTAATCAATGTTAAAGTTAAATCTTCCATTTTGCATTAAATGAAATCACTATAAGTTGCAAAATCCAAATTAGAATATTATTAAAAATTGATATTATAATTAAGTGTATAAATAAAATTGTTTAATAAAAAAGCCTGCAAATAAATTTAGAACGGATGGAGAATAATATTTACCGTATTCCATTTTTGTCATTTCACGGGGTTATTAACTTTATTAGCATGATTAATATTATCTGCATATAGTCATGGACCCGGACCGGGCCCGGTCGGGCTTTTTTGGGAAGGAAGGCCCGGGACCGGACCGGGTAGCCACCGGGTCCAGTCCGGGTCCGGGCCGGGCCGGTGCGGGTCCGGGCCAGGCCGGGCCTCCGTTTTTTTTTTTTTTCGCTTTCCTAACCCCCCCCCCCCAAAACCCCCCAAACCATCAAGCCTAACCCGGCTGGAACCCCAAAAAATGAAAAAAAAAATCAATTAGACCCGGACCCGGGCCCGACCCGACCGGGCCGGTTCACCAAATACAAGGCCCGAGCCCGGACCCACCCCCCCACCGGGCCTAGGCTCGACCCGGACCCGGATCCGGACCCGAGAACCGGGCCGGTCCCGGTCCCGCACAGTAGCGGGCCGGGCCGGTCCACGGGCCGGGCGGCCCGAACCGGGTCCAAGACTATTAGTATAGGGATGAACTCAAATAAAAAGTGCCTTCCCACAAAAAAGTGAGAATGTAATCGAATCGTTTACGTAGTAATTTATAATCAAATGATTCTAAATATACAAACAATAGATTAAGATTGACAAAAAATGCAATGACATATTCGTAATTATATTAAAAAAATCATCAAATTCTAAAAAGTGCATTGATGAAAGCAACAGTGCAAATCAATGCAATCATTTGCATTTTGTATAAAAACAATACTTTGAATTTAAATTCTAATTTATAAACGTAAAATTAATAATGATTACAACCCAATTGAATTTAAAATCTACCAACTTTTGGGACTTTCTTAATAAACACAAATTAAATATTCTGATTTCAAAATGCAACGTGTATTTATGTGTATTTTTGGATTGTCAATGGTAAACAACTTTTTGTTTTCTAGCATACTTGCAGCTCAAACCCATGCCACGTAAAACATTTAACTTGGGAGAAAGTTCAAAAATAATTGTGAAGGTTAGTATAAAGAGTTTTACACATAAACATGATTCCAATAAAACTTGTGAATAAAAATGTGATAAGAACAGAAAAATAAAATCAACGGGGTGAACCGTTGCCTAGATAATCAACGATAAATTAATATCGTTGCCCAGAGCCAAAAGGCTAAACCAAACTTTTATTCCAAGATGATGAGAATGAACCCTGGCGAGGGGTATAAATAGCCTTCTACAAGCAACCCTAATCAAGCCCAAATTAATTAAATCCTAATTAGGCCCATACTACTCTACTAACTATTCTACTAATAAAAGGCCTGTTGAGGTTTATTCCTTCAACCTTCAGGCCCAACACGTAAGCCCAAAGATTTCGAGTGGAGTGCGTGTGAATAACTAGCCCAACAAGCAGATGATAGGGGTCAAGAAACAGTAAGGTGGCAAGTAAGTGATTAGGTATTATTATCTCTTAATAACTCCCTAATACAATACTTTTTGCTAAGGCTCCGTCGGCCGTTCGTCTTACAAGGCAGTAGAAGTGCTGCGAGTAAGAATACTATAGCTAGAGTGCTAAGAATAGAAAGTTGTCAACCCTTTACAATGAAATAAATGCTTCTATTTATACCCGCCAATGGGCAGGTGACTATGCTGACGTGGAGGCCTGCGGACCGCTTGTGTCCCAACCACCAAATCTTCTGCATTAAATGCACTTCCCGCCAGAATCTAGGCTTCCCGCCTAAATAATGGGGATGTTCGCCCGCCAGGGGGTGAGCTGGGTCACTCCAAGTGACCCTCAAGAGACTTCGGCTGTTCGTCCCCTGACCTTAGTGGATTCTCTCCATGTGGACTGGATCTCCTCCGACGATCATGGGCCTGCCCAGGAGACGTTCGTCGTTATCCCTGATGGCCAGTGGTCCTGCCCCTTACCTCTGCTCATACGTTCGTCGCGATGGGCCGTTTGAAACCTGGACCCCCCAATTCCAGACGTTCGTCTCTTCCCAAGGGTCATGGGCCTGCGCCCAGCCTGGTCCTAGCATGACGTGCGTCCGATAGAAAAAAGGGGTTAATGGGCCGGACCTCGGCCTGGGCCATTATCCCAACAAGGCCCAAACCAAAACATAACATTAACTTAAAATAATAATAAATAATTATAAAGACAGCCCGTAACCGGCCCACGGAAGTGGGCCCAAGCCCGGTCCCGCCACAAGCTCTTCCCGCTTCATATCAAAATGTGACTGAAATGATTATGAAAATATTTTCAGAATCTTGACAGTGCTGTGTAATCACTAATCACTACAATTATACTGTGCGTTTTGTAGTCCTAAAATAAACGACGTATGTTAAATGTGATTATTCCATATTTAACCAGATTCAACTCTGAAATTTTCAACAATTTGAGCAGATATACTCATATACCGAACGAGTTCTGTGACATCAAGGGATAGGATTGAGCTTCTTCTAGGCGTAAATAAGAAAGCACATTTTATGGAAGCAACAGTTACAGGGGAAAAAATGTTTTGACAGGAAAAAAAACACTTATAACAACATCAAGCATTGGCAACCATCTGTGTACTAAATTCTGGTTGAGAAGACAAAGCTTCCTCAATACTATTACCGGCTTCTTCACCAGTCCCTTCATGTGCCTCCTCATCTTCTATCTTTTCAGATCTGAGTATCCAATCATACATTTTAACCCTCGCTTCCCTACAATGTGCCTTCTCAACTAATTTCAATCCCTTGAATTTCTCTTTGATCTTCCCTTCATCCTCCAGTGACAAGAACACTTCCTTCTCTTCCAGCTCTTCGTACATCTTTTGAATTTTAGCTTTCCAATACACCCCAAATTCCGAATCCATCTTCTCATACGGTGTCTTCAGGAGGTACTCGTCGAACCCGCCAGCTCTGTCAATGCATCTAAGAGCATGAATGGAGACCTTGACTTTAATGAAGCGGTCCAGGATGTAACTGAACAGACGTTTGCCTTGCACATTGGGCTTCCAATTCCTCCTTGTCCTGTTTCATTCATTTTTTTGTCATTAATCATAAAATGAAGTGTCCTAGAACGTCCATTTCTAGATTTACATTAATGAAAGTTCACTAATATATGTAGATAATATATAAAACACAAGAACAAACATGATTCATTTCTACACTCCCAAGAATCCATCCGTTTGGGACCCAGAAATGCACCAGAGGAAAAATGGACAAGGAAAATTGGTCCAAACTTTATACATCAACTTTACATACTTAGTCAGACACGTTTTGTTTTTTACTAAAAACAGGACAACTCAGGACACATTGGCTCTCATGCGGGAGAAGGGTACCACACCACCAGGGTGTTATAAGAAGCAAGTCTTCCCTTGTCATTCCGAAAAATGTTTTAAAACTTTAATCAATTAAAACAAATGAACAAAAACTTGATTTACATACTACCTCTGTTTCTTTTTAGTTGCAACATGTAATTTCACATTATTCACATGATCTATTTTGACCACATTTTATTTATTTATGCACGAGAATATTCTTTTTTAGAAAAGTACTGGTGAATTCATCTCATTACAAATTCTCAATGCTAATAGAGAATTAAATATATTGACAGTCGAAGTAGTGTGTTGGCAAACGTGAAAATGAGAGTATTGCAATTAAAAAGAAACAGGAAAGTTTTGTGTAAATTTCATTAAAACTTTTATACTTTATAGAAACCAAGGTAAACCCAAATATACTATACATAGAATTTTTTCCTATGGCACTATTTTCTATTAACTACATTTCATGTTCCAAACATAGCCTACACGAGTAGATGCTTCATTGAGCAACTCAGGTCAAAATCACAAGTCAGTAACCAAGGAACAACAGCATAAGGTAACTCAGAATTATATTACACCTACATTGCAGGATATGAATGTCAAATCCAGAAAGAAATTCATAACTTAGTACTCCCTCCGTTCTTTTTTATTAGTCCTTTCCCTTTTGGGACGTTTTTTTTATCTGTCCTCCTTTCCATTTAAGGAAAGTTTTTACTCTAAATATACCTTTATACCCAAACTTTTATTACCATTACCCCTTTTTTTTCTACTTTTTCATTTACCCACTACTCATTACACCTTTTACACTACCCCTACTACTTTCCTCTTAAAACCCGTGCCAAAGCCTATGAGGACTAATATTAAAGAACGGAGGTAGTATTGCACTGGTTGAGGATTCAATAGTTGATGTGGTTAAAAAATGAAAATTAACTTTCGTGTTAGTTTTAAATCGAAACTTAAAAAACAAAAACAGCAGAAGATTGCCCTCTATCAGCCACCACCGGCATTAGAGGACAATCCAGTCTTGTTAAACTTTCAGAATGATATATCAGGTGATTGCATTTAATTAATAGATAATAGATTTAAAGCGGCCATAAAGCGGCCATAAAGCGGCCACCTGGCAGAAAATAAGTCTAACCCTACGGCTTGTGAGTGCCTCGGGATGCGCGCAAAGATGTCCTGATGCAAGAAGATGTGAGCACCTTCTGGAATCTGCTGCACGCTAAGTTGCAGATGCGGAATTTCTAGCACATCCGTGCGTGTAGGTGCACCCCAGAGCAGTTTTTAAAACTTACACATTAAGGGAGAAAGGTTTGAATACAGCAAGCATTTATGTCCTCATAGCTGTTTCCAGAATATTGCATACACTAGGTAAACATTTCCAGTGGTTTTCATGAATGTACCTCACCCAACAAATGAAAATTTGACTCTTTATTCTAAAGGGAGATGAAGTCATAAAAGGGCATCCCGGTGCACATTGGTGTCCTCGCAAGACGAGGGTCAGGGAAGGGTTCTATCCAAGGTGTATAAGGATCAAGCCTTCCCTTATCATTTTTACAAGAGGCCACTCCCAACCTGCAACCTCTCAGTCAAGCAACACCATAACCGGTGTGCCAAGGAGGGAGATGAAGTTATATCACGGGAAAAAGATCAAACTAAATTGTGTTCTAAAAAGTTCATTCGTTATATCACTAGGAAACTAGTACTGGTTTCGTTCTTCAAAATGTTCAATTAGGAGTTGTTAGCATATCGTGCAACTACGGAAAGAGAAAAACATCTTGTTCTCCAGTTACTAGTTCATTGCTGATAAGCAATATAGTTGATGGCTTATCTTGGCTGTATATTTTGTCTGAGAGAATGAGGTAACTACAACTTTGAAGAATCTTTTATGTGACAGAGATAATGAGCTTCACAGCTTTCATTAGATAGGTAAAATGGATGAATTTCTTCCAAGGAGAGGGGTAAAAACATAAGCTGAGGAATTGATATCATCTTGGTGCAATCTTCACAAAGTCATATGCCCATGGCCATAACTTATAAGAACATTGCATGTACTCCATGAAAATTTCTGATTTTCTAATTTTGCCATCTTGCAAGACAACTTCAGTGACAATAATGAAAGTATGATTCAAGCTACGGACTGTCAAATAAGAGATATATACATCTCTAGAAATCATTAACTTTTGTAATTGTAGTCGTGACTGGACACTTCTCAAGAACACTGACATTTTTATTATCATCAATGGGAATAAATACTATCCTTCAATTCTAATACCCAGTGCATCAGCAAATAGTTTTATGAAGCAAAAAATACAAACAAATACGCTTGACACTTACTTGTTTCCGCCGTCTTCGCTGACTTGGTTGCCGTAACGAATATGGCGCCCGGCGTACAGGCCGCGGTGGGCACGGCCCATAATAACATTACTCTTGGGTGGCAATTTCTCCAGCCGTTGTTTGGTTCCAGCCCCCAAGCTCTTCTCACCACCTAACTTCTTGACTAACATCTTCATCGCATCCTTGGATCTAATCGCCATACCAAGCTCCAAGCTATATCCTGCTCTTTGGATTCAGATCAGCGGGTACTATTAGCAAGGGCTGTTTTTTGAAAATGAAGTAATATTATCCCTATACTTTTTCTTTTAGATTGGCGGATTTACTTTGAAGGCTGGAGCCTGGCGCCGGCTGGCGGCGGTGGTCGACTTGGTCGCTTCCGCAGTTTCGCTTTTGAGCTTTCTCTTCCCGTCTTCAGTAAGTTCCCTTCGTTCTGTTATTTCCTTCCTTCGAACCTGGGCTGGCTTCTGGCAGATGGAGTTCTACTAGTACAAATTCTTTTTGGGCCCTTTAAAATTTTGGACCCAACAATATTGTATTGCAGAAGTATTGACTATTGATCACAGAGAAAAAGTCCAAAATCCCTCAAATTGATCATGTTAAGTAAAAAAACACATAGTCCCAATTGTGTTGAAGATGGGTATTTTTAGGAGATTATATGTGAATCCAGCTTATGCAATTGGTGATAGTTTAAAAAAACACAGTATTCATGCTTCAATAATTACTAATTTTGAAAAGTTCCATTTGCGTTAATTTGAAGTATGATTTTTTACTTGCAGAGTGAAAACTTTTCTGAAAATAAAAACATTGATTTTTCTGCCATGTTGGGATCTTAGGTAAAGAACTCAATCTTAGTTTTCTGAATCATTTGGTGACACATATGAATAAATCTGAAGTAAATCTATAGATCTTAAAATTACAAACAACACATTGTCAAAATTGTAGATCTGTCGAAAATTGCAGAGATATTGTGGTTAGTTTTTTCAAGAGTTTGCATAGGTTTCAACAAACAATAATACCATTAATTTAACTAAATATTTATAATGAGATGTAAATTAAATGAATTAATGAAGGATTGGAGGAAGATCAGAACTACATAAGGTGAAAATTGATAAGGACCGATTGGTCGAACCGCCGAAGGGTGAGTGCTCGAGAGCAGGAACCCGGGCGACGAGCTTGAGGTGATGACTAACGAGGCGTGCTAAGGTGCTGGCGCTGACAAAGTGGCGGTGCTGGCGTGCTGCATGTTGGCTTTTGCTGAAGGGCGAAACCACGAAGGTAGTCAGTGAGTCGATCCCAAAGATGTTTTTTTGTTAATTATGGGCCTTTGAGAAGTTGGACTTGATATAACTTTACAATATGCGCCCTTTACAAAGCAAAATGGCGGGCGTAAAATTTTAGGGCCTGTTTACTAACAGAGATATTTTCTTGTTTTCTACTTCTGTTTTTCGTTGTACAATTTTCTGTTTTAATTTTTCAGTTTTTCTATCTCCAATTTTCTGTTTCTATTTTTTAGTTTTCCATTTTCAAATCTGAAAACATGTTCATCAATTTTTTCACACAGTTCTCCAATTCCACACTCTTGACCCCTACCCTTACCACGATCTTACACATATGGTCGGGGTGAGATGATAAGGTCTAGGGGTTGGTGGTTGGGTGGGGGTAGTGGGTGGGTTGGGGTCGTGGTTAGGACTTAGGGGTAAGGGTGGGGTAGTGGGTAGGGTTGAGGTAAGGTAGGGGTAAGGTAGGGTAGGGAGTTGGGATAGGATTGTGGTAAGGTGGGGTCAGGAACAGGGTGGGGCCGAGGTAGGGAAGGGGTAGGGTGGCGGGGTAGGAATGTAGAAACCGAGTCCACCCATATGCTTGATTGAGTACATAAAGTGATAAAGAGTTCAGTATTTTTTCTGAAATTCTTTACTAATTAATTTAATAATATCACAATAAAATACTTAAATTATTGATAAAAATGGATATACTAATCACTTCAATACTATCACAACTTTTATTCAAATAAAGATTTTCATTTTTTTTTTGAAACAATACTTTGAATGCAATAACAACTTTATTCAAATAAAAATTTTCAAGATATTGACTTAATTTGAACAAAGTTAAAAATGGCTAGCAATAGAGCTTTATTGTGCACCATATTGATTTAAATGTGAGTGTTTCGGAACCAGGGCCATATCGACCCGGGTCCATGCCTAGTTAAAAGTAAAGGTTCCACATTTCTTTTGTAAGCGCTTTTCTTACTCGAACTGCACTATACACACGCACATATGGGGAAATGGTTAATAGTAAATTCCTAAGAATAAACAAGACTACAATCAGGCAAAACAAATTACAGCAGATACTGTACATGGTATTCTGATTAAGCTTCACTCCTTGACGAACCACCAAAGCAGCTAACCACACTCCTTCATGTCACCCTCTAACTTGGTGATTCCGGTATAATTGGCCCCATAATCACCATATCACCAGTGGAATAGTAACCTAGACGGTCCTGGCCAGCCCAGGCCAGCAACACTCACTTCTGGAACATTTTTGTCCAACGTGTATAATAACAGGACTTTCATCTTCAACATCAGAGACCATCTTTCCATACAATCTTCCCAAATCTGAACACATTGTGTGGCACACCCTCCTGTGCTGCTTCTTGCCAAAATCACAACGCCAAAAACTGAAAATTGACTCTTAAAAATGCACCGAACGGCAGAAAAACTAAACCCCATGAGGGGGAACAGGCTGCCATTATGGTTTGAAGCTCTCATTACTCCATATATATGTGTGTGTGCATTCAATCATTCATTTATTCAAGGGTTTGTAATTTAAAGAACAAATAGAATTAACCATTTTAAATCATGCTTCTCTATATCTTTCTTCGGCTGAGTTCTCCTTCAATCCGCTTAATTTCATGTTTTAGCTCTTGTAGATCTGCTTTTCTGGACTGATGATCAGTGATCTGTTGAGTTTTGCCATTGCCGTTTATTATGCTACACAGACACTTCAAGCATGATAGATACTCTGCTTTGACTTGAGGCACCATATCACTCACTGATTTCTCTTTCTCATACTGCAGAAGGCCAAATTGGTTCATATTACTAGAAGAATTCATTCATACTACAACTGAAGTGTAGTAACACTTCACTAATTAACATTACTTGCATGAATAAAACATTGTGCATTCATTCCTATAACACATACCTCCCTGAAAGCAGAAATGCATTGACGAAGAGCACTCTCAGCTTCTCTAATAACACAATCATCCACCTGTTTCACATTTCAAAGAAAAAGCTTTTGAATGTGATAAAACAAGAAAATTAGCAGTAGAATTTTTATGCTTCTGCAAAACAGCAATCTCAGTTTTGAAATGAGCACCAACCATTGTGTTTCATGATACTATTTTTACATTTTTTTTAAAACTTAAGTATCTATCTAAATACCAAAGGATGAATATGATTTTGGATTTGGATGGATTGCCATAAATCCTGTCCGCCTAATATTGGATAGGCATGATGGACTGCACTGAGACAGTACTCAGTAGGCTAGAAACCCTAATTTGAAGAGAGCTCATATTAGTTTGGTGCAGGGCGGACTGCATACATCATACATTCAAATAGGATGAGTCTTTAACAAAAAGAAGTGGTTATGTAACACTGAAATGGTACCCAGTAGGCATTGAAAAGATTGTTCTCACACATGAAAATGCATTAAAGAAAGTGTAGAACTTCTTAGAAGAACAGCTTCGACATAATTGATACAATAAACACTAAGTTATCCACTTAATATTCCAAAATATTAAAATAAAACAACAAAAACTGTGTTTTCCATGATGGTCTGTTTGTATAGAGGTGGAGAAGGCTTTTGATGGCTATATCTTGACATTTTATGAAAATTGGAAAATTAACATAAGAAGTGATCATACAATGATACAACATTATCACTTTTTATTTATTTTTTAAAACACTCTATTTATTAAGATATAGACTAAGGATGTTTTTTAATTGGACTGAAATTTTCAGGCCTGATCTGAACTGGTCTGGTTTAGTCAAGTAAATGTTTGGTCTATGTGTATTTTATAACTATCGAAATCTGGTCTGTTCTGTTATGGAGTGAAAAGTCCAACTTAAAACATTCTAAGCCCTCCAAATCATTTCCCTCTAAAACACAACTCTCAAGCATAGCCTAAGGGATTACAGAATGTACATCAACCTTTGATTCCTGAAGTTCCACCTTTGTAACCTCCAACTGAGCAAGAGCATTAAGTGATTGCAACTGCAGTAACATACCAACACATAAACAACCATAAATGGAGGAAATTATGTATACTTGATTTCATCACCACGGCTATTATTAATTCTTTAGAGGTGGGCTGTTTGTTTCAAAGCACAGAATAGGTACAGTGATGATTCTAAAAAGGGAGGCGAGTCTGCTCATTTGGACCAAACCAAACAAACCTAAGCATTTCCTCACTGAAAGGGGTCGGCTATATGGATCAAGCAATACCAGTCATTGCTGCCAAGTGTTGTCTGCTAATTTGCTCTACTCATGATGTCTTATCTAATTGTCTATGTCCAAGCCAACGTAGGCCTTCTTCTATCATCTAAGTGTCTAACAATTCTCTCTCATATTGTCATCACTTGGGGCTGCTCCTACTTCATTTAGTATCTCTTCATTCTTGACTTAATGCTCAACAATATATTCTTATCTTGTTGAAATGTATAATGCTTGTAAAGAAAGTTTCTTTCTCTTGTTGTTTTGTACCCTTTCATTATAACTGGTATTTTTAATGCTTTCTGTTAAGCCATAAAACCCAAGTAGCAAGAACTCTCTATTTCTTGAATCAATTTACAATATAGTTTTATCACACTCACTGAATAAGTTTTGTTAAATCCACATTACTACATGCCATGTATTACCTCAGACCTGCTAAGTCTTAAACCCCTTGGATTTTATTGCCGATGTACATAATCAAAGCTTAGACTTACACTAGTCAGTCGCCCTCATATATCCTTTATCACTTCAATCATACTCAAAGTCTTTGTTTCTCTGGGAACTTGATCATATACTTCTCAAAGTCAACTAAAGTTTATACGTGTACATATTCTGTATTCTCTTGATACTGTCAAATTTATCTCCTATAATTTGCAAAATGATAACATACATAGTTAATCTCCCAGACACATAACTAACTTGATCATGTTAAACTATTGTATCTCCTTATTCTCCTTCCAATCACTCTTCACTAAATTTTTTAGTGTTAACTCATTAGTTTGTTTCTTCAAAAATTGGTAAAATTACTGATACATCTGCTATTGTTATAAATTGGCACTAATGTATCACTTCTCCACGCATAAGGCATTTTCTCATTCCTCCAAAATTGTATTAAATAGACACTGTAACCGTGTTACTACACCCTCAACATCATAATTTATGTGCCTTTAAAAGCTTAATTGGGATACCAAATGGACCTCCAACCTTGCCAACTTTCATCTTTTTAAGTGTCTCCTTAACCTTTATATGTGTGGTCTAGTGATTGATGTAAGTCTCCTCATCATATGGTTACTAAATACACCCTCATTAAAGAGCATA